AGCACTTGAGGATGAGGACGAAGAAGAAGAAGAAGAAGACTCGAAGGCAGAAGCAACCCAGCAGCAGGAGCAGCAGCAGCAGCACCAGCAGCAGTAGCAGCAGCAGCAGACTAGCAGCAGCAGCAGCGGCAGCAGCAGGAAGTGGAGAAGTGGAAGTGGAAGTGGAAGGGCGATGCGCGCAAACCACATTGTATATAGAGGTCTTCAACCACACGCTGCCGCTGACGCAACGGTTTCGGAGAAGGAGGCATGTGGGCTGGTGGAAAAGGACACCGGAGCTTCTGCGGAGCTTACGCGCCGGAACTCACAAAAAGTCACCTGGAGTGTCTCATGTCTGACATGGAGGTGTGACTGTTCAGCTGTGGTGCTGGGATTGTGTGTGTTCCGCAATTCGAGTTTGGATTCTGTATGTATGTGTGGAGTTGGACTGTTCCTTAGTCCTAGCACTTCTGAGAGGGGTTGCTCATTTATCATGTATTTCTTCAAAGCTTACGCATGGCTTACGCAAAAGGTTTCCTTACAAAAAGCTTACGCAACCTTACGCCTACGCGCGTGCAGGTTTTGCTTACGCACAACTTCGATACGGCAACACACTGAGTAAACATGAACACGAAGGTTTAGCGAATGGCTCAAGTGCTTTCTCCTTCCACCACCAAACATCTTCTGATACTTTCTGACTCATTCGGCCCACCGCCTGCGCGCAGCAACGAGGCTTGCCAAAGCCAAGGGTGTCATCGCGGAGGTGCCCAAAGCACCTCTGCACCAGCGGCGAATCCCCAAACGGTTCGAGGCGGCATCCACATCTGAACAACCCTAGGCTACTTATTACAGGCCACGGTTTGAAGAACGAATCGGAAGAAATTTGGTGTGCAGTGGACTTTTGTTCAGTACCGGATCAGGGGTTGAAACACCGAGATTGGGACCGGAAAGGTCACACCTTTCTTCGAGATCGAAATCTTCTGTCTAGATAGAAAGAAGTTCAACACGGTCAAGCGCAGGACAGGGGTTCCATTCAGAAGCAAAGTGATCATCCATGATAAGATCTCAAGGCGCAGCGGCGCAGAAAGCCTTGTTTTCGGATCAGCCAATGAAAAGCTAGGATGTTTTGCCCACGAACATGGCAATCGACCAGCATTTACAGAGGGTGAAGACAGAGTCTCAGTCCGACGTCCGATTCTGGGAACACACCCCTACCCTTCACGTCCTCTTCAGGACCGCCGTTATACCATAGGACTCTTGATCATTTACCCTCCCATATATTGTTTTACAATCCAAATGACAGGGGTATGAATCATGAATCAAAAGCCTACATTAGAAGTGGCAAGTTCATGGCATATTCCCACTTGGAAGATCGTAGAATCAGAAGGGTTGCCGCACCAGCTGATGTCAGGGAGCATTGTTGCGCCCAAAACTGTGTGTCTTTGGGGGCAAAAAACGCCGAGTGTTTGACCCTGATCTTCCATGCCAAAACAAAGCGTCTGGGTCGATGGGTGTCTCTCCGCGCGCGAACTCGTGGCGCCTGCAGAGGTTGAGGCCTCAAAAGAAGGCTCAAAGTCAATCATAACCGATGTCATAACCATTTCATGTCCAATTCCATTTCCCAGTCTCAAAAAAGGTGTTATTCCATTTCCAGCCAGCTTGTAGCTTGGTCAAGACAAAAGCATCTTGAGGCCTTGGATGATCCCTGCATCTCCGTTTGTTTGACGGTCCCTATGAGTATTGCAGGAGTCTTCTGTGACCAAAAATCATCGGCACCTGGTAAAAAAGGGACCACGATGCCCCGCCCACCATCCACCTCGATGTTTCAACAGGTCACGGTCTCTCCCTGGAGTGTGGCACTGGCAAGGGCCTCTTTTTGATTCTCCCCAAACACTCCAACCAGCCCGACCGGTCCCTCAAAACCGATTTGATACCCCAGAGCCCTCCATATGACGGTCCATCAGTGTCTGGGTATAGGTGTAACGCTCTCAGATTAGGGCCCCGTCCGCGCGCCGCTGCTTGCATGACGCAGGTTTCAAAGGTGTCAACGGTCCAGTGCTGAGGGGAGTCACAAAGGCCTGAGCACCGCCACGCAGCTGGCGACGAAAAGAAGAACGTCAGCTTGGCCTCTCTTGACCCTGAAAGGCCCTATATAGAGAGAGGTCAAACATACCTATATATCTATCGCCTATCCCAAATACTACTTCACATCCTAATCATCCAAAATCTCTCCTCTCTGGAGGGCCTACCTTCAGGTGGGGCCCTCCTGAGGGCCGGGCCCTCCTTCATCCATTCAAGTTTACGCAGTGTGCCACCCCTAAAGCACCAGGCTCTCTCTCCGGACATAATTTCGTCATTTTCGGTCCGAAGACGTCTACTGGCAAACATCAGTCCCTTAATTGGGGTCTGCATCCGCATTCGCTCGGCTCAGGTCCTGGTTCTGGGTCACATCACAATGGAGACCCAAAAAGCCCAAAAATCGTCTAAGATATGGGGCATTGACGGGTATTGTGCCATATACTCCGCAAATGTCAATTCTTTGAAACACGAAAGCACAATTGGGGTTTGTTCCTTGTAGGGCTTGTGCAACAACTCTTGAGAGGACTCGAACCGTTTCGAAAAGTCTTGTGAGGTGTTTCACGGAGGTTGATGGGTTTGTCAGAAACTTGGATGCCTCCCATCATTTAGCAGCGACATCCCGGGGTTGCTTGGCGATTCTTTCTCTTCCAGGCATCCTTGGACGCCCGAGGATGTAAGTTGGGCGATGTGGGGTGGAGAACATCACCGCCAACTGTGGAGATGCAACACAGCGACCAGTGAGCTTGGATTTGCTTAAGGAACTGGAAAACAAATATACTTGCCCAAAAGGGGATTTACCCACAGGAAAGATAAACATTAACAAACATAACCTTGGGGCAAACCCAGTCAAATCCAAGACTCGGCGAGTGATCCTGATTGTTGTGGTGCCCAAACGCTCCCGGACCCGAACCCTCTGGAGGGACCGGTCCCTCATACGGAGGGGGTCTCAAATTTCTAGGTTTTGAGGGACCAAGGGGCTGTTTGGAGTGTCTGGGTGGTTGGGATATGTTGGGATACATTCTGGTCGACGTCGCTTTAACACATTTCTTCGCAAAATTCCCGGTTCAAAAAATATCAGCTGTGTCCCTGGCAGATGAGGCCGCAAGCCTCAACAGCTGATCGGCGATGGGTTTGAATCTCGAGGTTTGGAATGTCATCTCAGTTGTAATGGTTAATTATTTTATGTAAGCTAATCATATGGCCTACATTTGGTGAGTTTTGCTGGGAAATTTATAGGCCACATGTTGCATTCCCATGCGGCATGGCACAACATCAACAAATCAAGACTACGCTCGTTGGAGTTTCGGACTTGTCTTTAATGAAAAGGTTCCTCGTATGGTGATCGCCGAACCCCACTAGTGACGATTTGGGCTGATCAATTTGATGCTGTTTTGTGGTCATCCTGGAGTAGATAGAATATGCAAAAGTTAAGAACAAAAAACATACTGTATGACATTGGTCATGTTTCATATTCATTCATATCCAAGTATCTACTCCCGTACTCCAGCATGGTTGATACGTTGGTTGTTTACAAAGTTAAAGAAACGGTTCGAGCATGACTCTGCACGCTTCATCTTTAGATCCCTTCATCGGCCCTAGATTGGTGTCTTGACAATGGATCCGCCCAAAGGACTCTTAGCGGCCACAATCAGAATCGTCAGAAGGGCCGAGACATTCCCTCCATGGGACTGGAATATGTCCCAAACAGGTCGTGTCTGGGTGGTGGTGGTTTGTAAGACTTCTTGCAACAACGAACTAGAGCTATAGCTAGAGCTAGCTTGTGGAACAGCGGAATCCCGACACGCTTCGGAAGGCTCAAATCATGCTTACCTGCAGCACCTCCTCAGGCCACTACTCCACCTTCATCCACCTACCCCCCTGGAAGCGCGGGTTCGTGTGCACGCGAAAAACATCGCGCATTTGGCGCACAGAACTGGGTGCTCGTGACATGATCGGCAAGGTCGGGAAAAGGCCTGGGCCAAGCGCAGCGCAGGGCGCTGGGGGTGGTGGGCCCAAGAGGTTTGGCTGCGAGAGCTGGGCCCAGCAGACGGCAGTCATGTGACCGTTCCATGTCAGTTTGCTTAGTGGAGGAGTTCGGTGCGCCCAAAACATCACCTCATGCTTTTGGGGACTACCCAATTCCTTTGGTACTTAGAAATTGGAATTTCCTTTCTTGGGTTCCCACCTGGATGACCCGGGCCTTCCACATGATTCATGATCCGGAACCGGATGATCTTTTCCTCTATCCTTCAGCCTGAAGCGAACCGCGCCGGACATCTCGAGCTGCCCGGCCACGGCCAAGGGCACGGCCACGTGTGGCGCTTATTGGTCAAAATTCCCACAGAGCCGAAAAAGGGCCTGCGGAGTTCGGCGCAGCGACTCCTCAGCGACCATCCTCTGTGCTTCCAAAAGTTCATTCCCGGGTTTTCCCCAAGAAATGCGCATAAGTGACCTCAGACCATGTCGCCTGCGGCCACGCTGGTGGTGAAGAATGCATGTCAAGAGATGTCATTGTGGACAGCATAGGGATGATTTTTTGGAAGACACTCCATATATGATATGGAATTTATATGCCTGCCTGACTGTCAGGCAAACATGCCAGTCCCATGGGTCGTGTCTGGGCATTGGAAGATCTGCATGAAGACCTCCATCCATCATGCGAAGTGGAAGTTCCCAGCTGCCTCTGAAGTTGCTTCTTTCTCCAAATCGGGCATCTGAAGCCATGCCGATATTGTCCAGGACCACCAAATGGACGGGCGAAAGACAACAGGGGTCATAGAACAACTTGCTTGAAGAGCAGCATGTTTCCCAGGAAACCATACTACAACCATCTCAATGAGAGAACATGCCTAGTTCAACGGTAGTTCGATTACCCATCCCAACCTCTCTTCACCCAAAAAAGACCTATATAATATATATATATATGCATGTTGCTTTTTTGGCTGTGCACCCATGAAGTTGTCGTTACTGCTTACATCCAAATCGTTTAGCCTTTTGTCTTGGGGGTCCTGACAAACCATATCTCGCACTGCTTGCTTTTGCCGCCACGCCCGGATCTTTCTGCATTTTGCAAATACCTGGCGGTTATCAATTGGTCATCCAGCTGCTTCGAATGTAATTAGGGTGCAATGGGGTGTCAATACGAGCAGTTCTGCCCAATTCTGTCAATTCACCTGGAATTTTGAGATGTTCTGGTCCATGTTTTTGGCGTGAAACCATGTTTGTCCCACGTCCATCCGCACGATTGAACCCGATATTATCAGGATTTCGCCAACTCCTTCACACGGTGGTGGGCAGGCATCCCAAACAAGGCGCTATCTGGCCAAAGTGGAAGTAAACGCGTTCAGAAAGCCTAAATCGGTATTAAAATTGGGAGACCTCCCAAAGGACCCTTGACAAAAGGAACATTAGACAAAAACCCATTGCTCATTGGCGAGGGTTTTCCATATTGAAATACCAACCCAAGTGACCTGGACACCCTGGGGAAGACTCTTTGAACCCTCTAGGTGAACCCAGGGTGATTGACTTGTCAGCCATGAATTTCGAGCAAACTGGCAGTAAATATACTGGGCGGGCCAAATTGTCAAGTGCGGATGTTGGTGAATTGGTCTGAGAATTCGAGGGTTCTCCAACCAACTGGATTGCATTCCCAGCTTCCCTTCTTTTTCAACTTCAGAGACACATCTATTTCTTGAACTTCTGACCCAGCTTGGCTTCAAAAGGACGCTGATTTGTCTATTCTAACCAGCCTGAGGCTGGCCAACGGCAGTGTTTGGATCATATATATATATATATATACTGGAGAATGATGGACATCTGGAACAGCCAATTTCAGGTTCACGGCGGCGTCAGGAAAGCTGCCCATTCCGGGCGTCTTGCTGTGAGACACCCGGAGGGTTTGTGCAAGGACAAAAGACACCACATGACTGCTCTGGGCCCCACCAGCACAAGTTGATGCATCACAACTAGGCTTACCTCCTGGGTTTCATCCTTGGCAGTCGCGAACATCCCTTGGAAGGGCCTGTATTTTTAAGCACAAAGCTGCTGCCAACAAAACACAACTCAACATAACCCAAAATGACAAGTCAAGGGACCTCCATTCAAACCATGTTCCATGCCTCTGGAGTTCCCTCCTCTTTTGAGTTCTTTGAGGAGCAGCGGTCCACCTTCCGATCCTCCTGTCCACCTTCCGATTGATCGCCTTCTAAGTCTCGTAGATTGCCTTGCTCAGTGCCTGGCAGCGCGGGTATCACGCGGTGGCCGCGGTGCGTTGAACAAGACCTGCGCTTTGGACCAGTGATCTCTACCAGGAGTCACAAGACGGGGTGCCGAACGAACAGAGGAGGTCGGGGTGCCCCTGTCACATCCACTCACTGGATGGGACTAAAAACCACCCAACTCCATGTGACTCCTGGTAGACTTCTCTCCAGATGTTGCCTGCTTTGGAATGTGCATCCCGCTTTCCCGTGCACAAAACGGACCAGTGGTAGAGGTGTCTGATCGAGTAAAGTTTCCAAAGCTTATGGTCAAACTGGGTGAGTTTCTCCTAAAAACATTGAGTGCTATTTGAGTGACTTGTCCTTTCTCATATACAAAACATCATCCAGGAGTAGATAGAATATGAACCCATCTGGAAACATGACTAGTTTCCTATTGTACTTTGGGTGTCCCGTTTTCCATCTGCAGAAGAAAATAAACTGAACCCAGAATGAATAGAAAAGCCTTTGTCCTTTAATTGAACTATAATTGTTGGAACTGATGTTGTTCCCTACTACTCTTGAACACCAATTTTTGGGAGCACAGTAATGAACATATGGGAGTCTCTAACTCATGCTCCAATTATTTTCCCAAATGACCCAAATGATACACATGTCACATGACCCACAAGAAAGACTAACTTCGTGCTAATAGCCTGGATTGCTACTCCTGGATTCCGTTTAAACATGATCATATTAAATTATCAAAAGGCATCCATCTACGTAGCAAACCATATAGCCCTAGTAACGATAGCAAACCGCAAAAGGAACAAAACAGCAAACCATATAGCCCTAGCAGCGATGGCCTCCAACCTGCTGTGATGACGGGCGCTGTGGACTCCCCAAGACCCCGTCTGATGCCAAACCCTGCCTGAACTGCTGAATACCTGCGGATCTCAGTGGCGCCGGGTCGGAAGTCAAACTTAATACACTCCCTGAGACAATCATGGAAATGGCACAGTTCGGCCCCTGGAAGAAATGGTCCTCTACAAGTGGGGCCTGCTCAGCTTCCATGACCTCTGAGGGAGAGTAATCTCATTCTGATGTCATCTCCTGCAAAATCTCTTTTGGAAGTGAATCTCCCCACCAGGTGGGTCCGATGTCATCTCCATGCGATGACTATTGCTTGGTTGGGAAAAAAGAACGACACCGTGTTCTACCCCCTTGAGATCAAACGAGGTGACGTGGTGATGATCATAGCCAAACGAATGTCTTTAGCAACGGTATGTTTCGCTGCTTGTTACTTTACTATAGTCCAGGCTATCCATTGGCCACTTGCGCCTGCGCGAAGACAAGCCTTTGTTGATCCTGAACACAAAGGAACATCACCTTTCTCCGCTGCACATTCACTATCATTCATCCCAAACACCATTTAACACAAAAAAAACACAAATACACAAAACAGCGGTCCCATGTCAAGACCAACAAAATGTCTTTGTTACAAGACTGGATTCTTGACATCTTCATCATGTAAAAAGACAAGGCCTGTTTTTCACGAAAAACACTAACATGACCATGGACCCCGGTCTTGGCAGGCACCCTGGTTAAATTTTGAAAGACGGTTGTTTCCTCTTAACAGGCTGCACCAGTGACTGTTCAAGGTCCATAGTAAGCTGACTCCCCTCAGTTTCCCATCTGTTGATATTTAGGGGAAAACCATCCTCAAAAAGATTAAAGGGTTAGAAGACTGGTTATCAGTGATCCACTGTTCGTTCCAGGTGGTGTCGACCAACATGGACCCCAGACCCACCGAGGAACCCTCGCCTTTGTGCCATCGACTCCTGCGTCGCTTCACCCTGCGGTCGGTGGCGAACGCCCATCCGGTCGGTGGCGGAGTGGCGTTCGGCCGAGTTGCGCGGGCGAAAACGAAGAACCGAAGAAGCATGCGAAGACGAACGCAACATGAAAGAGTTGGTACGAATGGTTGCTGGTGAATCCACGTAAAGCCAGGGTAAACCAACGAGAGGTCAACTGCCAATCTTGTGTCTCTACCAGCTTACCAAAAAAATGTCAGCCACCCTTTGGGAGGGTGTTCTATCATCCTTGATTTGTGCCAATGGCCACGGCCCAAGGCATTGTGGTCTTGATTCTTCCTGCACAGCGCGAGAGTCTGCGACAAATGTCTGGGACCAAATCGGTGAGTGGACTCATGGGGATGAGGGATCTCTCTCATGGGTGGACTCATGCAGTCCGTGTTTTTGTTGGTATCTCAAACACCCTCACTCTCACGAATATAGCTCTGATACGATGCACCATGACATCCAAACCTCAAAGTCTTCATCTCTTTCATCTACAACAGTGATACTTTTCACTTTGGTCTTTGGGCACCATGACAAAAAAATAAAACACCGCAAAATGGTCTCGAAACGGAGCCTGTTTAGCCGAAAAGGTGCTCGATCGATCTCTTGGTTCTCTTCTTCTTACGTCATCGGATTGTTTGTGCCAGCTCACATCTTCCGTGAATGCACGCTTCTCCGAGCGTGTGAATGGTGCAAATGATAGACGACCCCTCCAGCTCTGGGAATCCTCACGCTCTCCCAAAAAGGACACACATCCATGCTTCACCATGTTTCACTATGTTTCACTATAATGTAGACTCTTGATTACCCCCCATATGAAGAGGATGTTCAATTCAATGGGGGGTAATGCATGGTAATGCGTTGAACCGATGCTTGATGTGTTTCCCTACACACGTGCCTTCGTTCGGTCTCACATATTTGTTTGTACAGTCCGTGTTTTTGTATCTCTCTCAGTTTGTGCATACAACATCCACGTTTCACACAGACCACTTCCACGTTTCACCCGCCTTCCACATGCAGCAAGGGTCTACGTGGATGCGACAGTGTCCGCAAGTCAGAGCATTCAATGGTTTTATTTTTTACTATAATCAAGAGTCTACATAATGTGTTCACCCCCCAACTGCCCCGTTCGTCCCCAACTGCCCCGTTCGTGCCGTGTACTTCACGCCTCCGGGGGCAGAACTTTGGGCGATCCCCGCGGCGAGCGCGGCGGCCAGCGGTGCGGCGAGCGCGGAGACTTGGGCGAGCGCGAGCCCGCCTGGGCGCTTTCGCGTGGAAAGTCGGGTCGAGTCGAGTGGAGGTGTCGGGTGGAGGGTCCTTTGGAAAGGAAGGAACCCGGATTTGCTAGCTGCTTCTTTAGCATATATGATGCCAGCTGCCAGCTGTCTGCCTATGCAAGCCCATCACACTTCCTGTTTCCCCAAGGGGCCAAAACCCATGATGTGGTCCAGACAGGGAAACAAACATCTATTCCCCAGGTTCGGGGATGGATCCCCCATGGATCCCCATTGGATCCCCATCATTCCCCTAAGGAAGCACCATAAAAAGGCACCACCGGTGTTTCAGGCGATGCACTACAAGTCTTCAGGGAGGGCGATCGATCGCAAGACGTGTCGTCCCTCGACCGGTGCTGGTGAGCTGCTTCCAGGAGCCTGTCAGGGGTGGGGGTGTGGCATGTCTTCCTTTGTCCGCTAGCCCCGGAAGTCCAAGACCATTTTAAAGATGGTTGATCTGTTTTGTTGGTGTAAACTCCTTATTATAGCATATAAATGTATATATTGGTAACAACTATTATTTAAATGGTGGTTCGACTTCTAGATTCCTTTTCGATTGCTACCGAACACGCGGACCCTTCGGATCCTGTTAGGGGTGGGAACCTGTGAGAAGTGGTTCAGGATGTATGCTGGAAGAGGCAACAATGAGGACACACTCATTGGACTCTGGCTTACTTCTCTGATGTCAACCTTAAATTGGCCTCAATGCCACAAAAAGGAGAAACCCGGAGCCCTGCCTTTTGAAACGACAAAGAGTGAACCCCAATGACAAGAAAGGAGCGCCCAACTAAGCGATACCCTCCAACAAACATGGAAGTGGACAACTACCTGTTTGTAGAGGAACATGGTTCGGTCTTCCAGAAGTCTATTCTCCACTTCCATGATTGTTGGAGGGGGAGTAGCACATTCAGCTGCACACAATTGGTCCGGGTGATGCGTGGGAGTCCATCTTTTGCCGTGCAAGCTAGAAAGGGACCCATATTGAGATTGATTCCTGATTTTTGACATGCTGCATCATAATACTTGTTCTGCTGGATTAGACCATTTGCTGCACGGAGGTGACATGAACGAAAAAACACAATTGGACTGCTGAAAGATGCTTTCACTTTCAGCAAGCCCAAGAAAAGGACCTTGGGCTCCTAGACCGTTGTAAATCCCACACACACACACTTACACTTAGATAGATGGCTCGCAAGAGCATAATGTCAGGAACTGGTTCAACGAACCCATTAGCCCTTTAGTGCATTAATCCTTTACTGCAAAACAACAAATAAGACAGCTTTGGCCTTACTTAGGTTCACCAAGACTCGCATTAGCCCTTTAGGAAGAAGTGGAGTCACAGCTTGAACAACACCACAACCACGCAGGTACGTTTTCCTGATCATCCAGTGTGGAGCTTCGTTGGCAGAGGCCACATCTGGAGGTGTACTCAGCAATCAAAAATTTGGTCAACGCCAGTGATTGAAGACAGTGCTGCGTATCCCTCAGGAACAGGGAGTGACACACACACACCACACACCTGGACCCTCCTGGCCAGCTCTTTCCTGATGACAGCAGGTGTCCAGAAATCACCTGCTGGGGTCCAATGGCTAAACATCAAAAAATCTGTGTTTCAGCCACTCTCAGAAACCTTCCGCGGTCGAAAAGCAATCAACACTCGGGCTCCGCGCCAGCCCTGGTGACGTGGCCCCCCCGCGCATGTGGCGAGGAGAGCGGAGAAGCAGAGGCGCTGCTCTTCAGCGCTTTCGTGCTGCTCTGCGGCGACAGCCCTAAGACCGGGTGCCTGGGTGAGTGGCCAAAGGACCGAAGATGACCAGAGTCACCCACGGGGACCGCAGCGAGAGATGACCGGTGTTCCCTTTTTGGGAGAAGGAACAGGAAGATAAGACATCACTTGGATCACCTGAAGTGCATTCGGATCGTTCTGACCTAAATTGAAAGATGCTCCTTTTGCCGGAACACGGCACACAAACCAGGATGATAGTCCATGTATGGAACAAATGCCTACATTGACCTCTTTTCAACCACCCCAACTGATTGGCAAATACTTTGTAGATGGAGTCTCTGGCATAGTAAAAGGCTATATTTGATCATCTATCCCAAATGCTCCATGTACGCAAATATGGCCTGCATTTGGTGGTTTTGGGTGGTGAATGTAGGTCGTATTTGCTCACATGGAGCATTTGGGTATAGTTTGGGGCGGGCCGACGAACTTCAGTATCTGCATTGCCCGAGCTGAGTCTCAAAACAGGGGGGGGGCCATCCAAAAGCGTCAGCGTGCTCGGTCGGCGGTCTCGTCCTCACTCCAGGCCCGCCCCCAGTGATTTACACTAACCTCTCCTTCCAACCCCACCAGTCTTGTCTGCCGGACCCCTTTTCAACCACTCTCTCTCTCCGTCTCCGTCTCCGTGTTGGTTTTCAACCCCCTTTTCACACGGTGGAAACTCCCACCGTCGCCTCGCATCCGCATCCCCCGCGGTCGACTCGCGACTCGCGACTCGCTTCCAAGCCGCGAAGGTGAACGTGGCGAGCCGTCCAACTGAGCCGAGCGACCGGCGACCGGCTCTCCGAGCGTGCTCCTCCTGCCCGCGGCCTCCGCTCCCCATCGCGGAGCTGTGAGTGAAAACCGCAGCCTCCAAACCTTTTTGGGATTGGTGAGTGAGTGAGAAACCCCAGACCCCTCCGGATTCAGGTCCATGGAGCGCGTCTGGAAGAGTCTCGTTTGGGCTGGCCGCCCCCTCCGCTTCGATTGGTGGTTGGGGTGGGTGCCAGGGCGGGGGTCTGTGCCCACCGAACCGGAGGAGGGGGGCCAGGGGCTCTATATAGGGTATATGACCTTCATGGATTGTCGCTTGAAATAGGACCCTTCCACGATGAGGTCCTTTAGACCCTTGCTTGGACCAAAGGATCGCCCACGGCATCCAGGCCGTTCGAAGGCCGGTCTGGACGTCTGGATCTGGCATATTGACCAGGTCCAAAGTCCTTCAAAGAAATGTGAGTATCCACCAGGGCCGGACTGGCATATACATTCATTGGGGTGTGGTGGATTTCAGGGGTCAATGTTGGCGTTTTTCTTCCAGTCCCATGGAGTGTCTGGGTATAGTAGACCTCACTCTGGAGTTGGCTAAGAGATGTGAAAGGTAAAATGAAGAAGTGATGGCAAAGGGGCACCCCTGGCAGCAAACATGGGGGGAAGATGAGCCTCACTTCATGGGGGGAACACGTGTGGTGTTGTCATAGTCCGACACAAACCTAGGCCTAGGCATTTACACCACGCCAATTATATAACACGTTGATTTGGTAGTAGGTAATCAACAAACGTGGCTAGGAAGGAACTTGGTTACACGACACGAATTCAACACATTGGTCTGGCTTTGCTCACGCAGGAAGGAACACATTTGCTGCGGTTCTAGGTATCTTGAACAAACATCAAAGATTGAAGCTGGCCCACTGCCCCAAACCTTCTCCAGTTGTTATGGCATTCCAGCCACCGGTTGAGGCCACTAGACATTCTGCCCAATGGGGTCCATGAAATAGGAGAGGAGATCACTCTGAGATAAAAAGAACAACATGTGCTTTATACACATGTCACAATATATCTTGGAAAAGAAGGTTCGTCTTTCTAACCTAGCAAACTGGGTGCTGATTTGGTTTGGAGGATGGTAGTGTCTTGGGGGGGAACGGCAATTTAATGACGTGAACTTTGAATGTGAGAGGCAGCGGCAGCTTCGGGCGCACATCCTGGCATTTTGGAAGCTACTTTTGAGCAAATGATTGTGCTGAAAGAAAAGGAGACACAAAACAAACAAAAGCAGGACTAATCGACCAACCATTCTCAGTGTCAACGAAGAACATTCTGGTGCAAAAACCTGCAAACTATGACAGGAACCTGACAAAGTCATCCAGTCATCCCTGGTCTTCTGCCATATACTATAAACCCCAATCCCTCGCAAAACCCACTTGATGATCGGTCTCAAAGGTCTGTCCGGCTTCGCACCACATCCACTGAGCACCCGCACGGTTTGCCGAGGGTAGGGCGGCGAGGCCGAGTACGCCTCGCGCGGTTGGGGGACGAGAACACCTAGACTCTCCGTGTATGGCATATTTGCCGATCAGTTGCGGGCAGTTCCATACATGGAGAGTCTGGATACAGGCATTTGTTGCGTCTGCCGCTGCTGGATGCCGCTTGTCTTGTTTGGTCGTCTCGTGAAAAGACCCTTCCAGCTGGGCAATGCCCTGGGTCGTGGGGTGTTGGATGTAGTTTCATCTGAGCTTTGCTGAAAAGCTTGATAGCTTCCTATCTCATAAGAGCATCTTACCTACTATGACGCTCATGTTTCTTTTATCTTATGCATTGCAAGGTTTTCCTTACGCAGCTCTTATGACAAGATCAATGCCACGCAAACAAAAGGGTATGTGGCTCATCTGCGATGAGCACCCGAACTGACCAGCACCCGGTTCGGGTGCGTGTGATTGGCGCGAGAAAGCGGGGGTGGGTGGGTGATGAGGTCATAGGTCTGTACAGTATGATACTTGTATATACTTGTACCAACTTGCAACATCGGATGCATGTAGGTCAATGTGTGCAAAACAGTTTGATCTTGCAAATCTCAAGATCATGATGTCATCCAGTCCAACCTGAGAATATCTGGCCAGCCTCACCCTTCTTCTTTTTACAGCTCAACGAAACGCCCAGGATGTCGGCATCCCTCATAATCCCTCAATCTGTTGAACGCCGAACTCGCCCGGTACCAACCAACTCACTCACCAGCAATCAGCGACGATGTTCCGCCCCCATCTCCCTCCCACACCGTGCCCACGTATCGTGCAGCGACGATGACCCGCCCCCAACCGTCCGCCCGCGCACGAAGCGCCGCGACGTCCGTTTCGGCGTCTTCACCGAAGCGCCTGGAAGGTGGTGAACTTCACGTTGCCGCTGACTGCGCCAGCGTTTCAGACGGAGACGTTCTGTGGTTTTCTTGGTGGCCCGCTCGAAGCGAAAGGGCGTCGTGTTTAATTGTTTTTCAGATCTTCAGATCAAGCCGCCAAGTAGAGGTATAGATAATTACTGTACTATGAAAATCCCTATAGAAGTCCAGTTCAACTAGATTTTGACCGACTGGGGTAAAGGAAATCGCCTTTCAGGTCCCCTAATGACCATGCTTAATAGTATTTGACTCCCAGGGGAATGCTCAAACCTTTGTCAAGTAGTTGTAAATGTTGTAGCAAAGAACCTCTCTGCTAGAGTTCATGAAATGAGAAACTGTACCTTCGAATGGTTTTTTGCATCTCCATGTGGGGGTGTTCTATTCATCAACCATCTACATTCCATGCTGCATTTTTTGCAGCTCCAATCATACTGAGACTGGAAGTCGGAGTAAATGGGGGAGCCCAGTTTCCTTGATGTTGGCCGACCATGTTTGACCCATTGAGAATGAAAGTCACCATCAATCAAGTGAAGAATCTAGAATCTAGACCTAAGTATATTCATCAAACCACTTTCAAACACGTTCAGAACAGTTGATGAGCCTAATTTAGCCTAGGCCTAATTGATTGGCATGTCTATCACGCGACGACAGGATAGTCCCATCTGTCCGATACTCTTCGTGTAGCTTGGTTTTTAATGGTCCAAGCTCAGTCCATCCCACATCAACTGAAAACCACTCATTTGCCCCGGTATCTATGCAGGCGATTGGAACAAAATCATCTTCCTACGTTAGCTACATGACTCGCAACGAGAATCAAGTGCTTTGCATGTTTCCTCTTGCCAGTGGCTTCGGGATGAGTTGGGTCTTGAAGAACTTACCAGGCAAGATCGGCTGCCCGCCCTTTTGACAAAGTATTTTTGGGGCATGGCATGTGGCTGGGTAGCCACCTCGAAAGCATCCCAGCCGGCATTCCCAAACCCCAAACACATGCAGAATCACCTTCTCCGAGACTTGGGTTATTGCGGATGGTCTCTCACCATGGAAGGTCATTTACATCCATTTCCATTTACCGGATGGTGACACATTGAGACACCATGGAAGGTCTGTCTGGTTGGTCTTCTTCTCAAAACACGACCCGTTCGCCTGGCCCTCGCCTGGGCGGTTCGAGAAGTCCGCGATGCGACGTGGCCGCGGAACGTCAAGATGAGCGGCGGATCTCTTCGCTTCGGCTACTTGGCGAAATAACTCAGAATATACATATACAAATATATATACATATATAATATATTATATAAATCTATATAGTAATTTCGTTGATGTGGGATGCCCGAATGATTTCGTTCACCAGCGAATGCTGGTGTTGGACAAACAAATAGAACATGCCGTAGACCACTTTAGGCAAGACCAAAATTCCGTGTGCTTGCTCACATGTATATATACTCTATGGTGTGGATGACGTGTCCTCTCTTCCTGGTCAAGTGTCCTGGTAAAGCTCGGTCCATTGGAGTCCTTCTTTGAAGTGTTTCTTGGTCGATGTCCTTCTTCAATGGACTGGGTAAGCTAAATTTCTTCCTGCCCTGGACTGGGGGTGTAGGCAGTGCACCCAAAAGTCAAGGCTGCAAGTATCTCACGCTTCTCTGGGACTCTTCAGGGTTCTGACATAGGGGGCTTTGAGTATTTCTAGCTTCCCATGAGTAGAAGAAATCAAGACATGGAATCTGAGCGGGGGGGTCTCCGCTAAGCCCTGGACCTGGCTAACAAGTGCTGCTGCCTTTGAACCAGCTGCTGATGCTCCTCCAGCTGCTGTGGGGTTTGGAGCTTGCTTTGGGATGGATTTGCAAACTGAAGGCTTAAAATATGTTTAAACGTTGAAAGGATTTCTAATCTACATTATGTTTTGGCAGTGGACAAGAGATCACTAAAGTACAATAAAAATCAATAAAATACAAGCAAGCTCTGATGAACAACAAGATCTGAACTATAAGTCTCTAAGTCTTGCTCTGGAGCATCTGCAATGAAAAGAGCTCTGATCTCATATGCAGCATCTTAAAGAATCATTGACACTTGCCTTCGCAGTTTGCAGGAACCGCGCCTTTTGTCTCACCCAAACACGCGCACGCCGCGTTCTCACGCGCTGTTTCTTCGCATTTTCCACCGCGTCCTCCAGGAGGTTCGTCATGGAGGAGACGAGCTGCTCCGAGTCGCCCGGCCCTGTGGTCACCTCGTGCCAAAAAAACAACACGATTTGGGGAGAAGGGTGCGGAAACTTCCAGGCTTGGAGTGCGCATCTTATTTTGTTTCTGTGATGGGCCTCTTGATGCTGAAGTTGGCAGGTAAAGCCGCGCAATGGGCATGATTTCCAGAGGTCATCCACTTGAAGGAACACCAAAAGGAATGATCCAGAATTCAACAGAATCTACCCGACTCGACCAGTCTCTCTGTCGCATCGATGTGTCTTCGCCCGCTCCCAAACGCCGACGGGACGCGGGACGTCTTCTCCGTCTGACGTCGCACCTGGGCATCCTCTTTCAGTGGCTTCGCAAAGGTGCTGTTCAGTTGGCTCACGAGCCTTGGTGAAGAAACAGATCACACAGCGGAAAGGTCGTCTCCGTCACGTCACGAGGAAATTGTCGTGTGCGGTCGTCGTGGGGGGAGTTGGGAGGGGGTGAGTTGGTCGTCCCGCAGAAACTCAGACACCTGGAAAGAACCATGTTTCGACTGTGCGCTGCAGGGTCAAAACGTTTTGATGTACTGATGCCAAGCAAGTGATGCTCTTCCGGCAACCAGTCTGAAGCATCAAGAAACATTCTTGAATCTTGAAGCACTTGCCAATCTGTGGGAACATGGTGAACTCCACCTTGCGGCCTGCAATATGAAATAGCTAAAACATCACCCTACAAGTCCAGTCTGACCCAGTATAACCTGCTCTTCTACCTCCCTTTTCGTAGTGTTTTTGTATGTTGACCTGTAGGGTCATTAGTGCACTCTCTTGGAATTGGACGCCCTTGTTCTTCTCGTTCTCGTTAGGTGTCAAGCCCCGCTCTTGATTTCCCCAGGCCGGGGAGATCAAATATTCTGCATTTCGATGCCCTGCTAGCGGAAGACGACGTAGTCACAGTCGTGCACTCTAAAAAAGAAACACGAAAAGGCTGTCCGATGTCGTTGCACGAGGCGTGAAAGTTGGTACCTGTCCATTTTCACAATAACAGCATGTTCTTATTGTTTTGAATCAGGGCAACCTCTTTCTTCTTCCTGTTAACAGTTCCTTTTTCTGTGCTCGGACAACAATAACACTTTGTTTTTAAGAACACGTGCCTTAAACACACGGCTGTGTGGGGGCGTGCTACCTTGGTTTTGGATGTTTTTGATACAGGACCGGGACGGCCGAGGTACCACCCAGGATGAAACAGGAATGTAGGCCTAGGGCCCAGACATGAGCCTCTGCTTCAATAGGAAGTTAGCCCATACTTTTGCCTGCTTGGTGGTCGAAAATAGGGGTATATAGAGGCCACTCAGGTCCAAGTATAGGCATGTTATTCCATATACATATTCAATGTCATTCATATTCCATCCAGTGCAGGGTTCCCGGGCTTCTTCACCAGACTTTCGGCTTCGATCATGCGCGCCTAGCGACCAAGCCGCAGTCTGGACTGGGTGCGAGGAAACCAAAGGCGTCGGAGTCATGCAAGTTTGGTTTCGTGCGTTGTTTGAAGACTGGGCATTTGCCCCGCACGATATTTGTGATTTTTTTCCGGAAAGTAGACACATTCCCCTGTATTTCCCAGTACAAGAGAAGGGCCCTCCGGTCCATTCAGCCGTACTTGAACACGGCTGGGACATGGCGGTCCACCCCAATCTTCTTGGCCTCAATTCAGAGACGTGACTGGATTGATCCCTCGGCCGTCCCCAAGCCTTGTCTTAGCCTTATCCCCCCCAGTGCTGTGCTGTGAAGCACCTTCGGGACACCGGTCCTTGCGGCCTCAATCTAACGCGCTCCGACCAAACGGTCCTTCATCAAGTTCGTGGATTCCGTAATGCTTTGGTCGATACCTCAGCCGGTTCCCCCGTGGCCGAGAAGCCGCGCGGTGCGTTAGCACGCCGCATGATTCGGCACATCGAGACGATGGAAAGTGGAGATGGAAAGTTGGGGACCCTGTCGAAGCGGCCCAAAGCTTGATGCAATACTGGGGACTCGATGAAGAAGTCCAAATTACTAAAGACGATTCACATCGGTGGTGCTAGATCAAGTCAAAAACTATCTATACTGGTGACCGCCATCATCTTTGAACCCGGTTTTAAGATCTTTCATGTGTTCCCAACGATCGCCCCCGATCGCCCCGGATACGGGCGATGCGCATCCCGAAGCGTCCCGAGACTCGGAGAGTCAACTGGTAGCCTCTTGGCACAACCGGTCCGGTGGACCTTCAGTTGCATGATGAATCAGTGCAGAATCGTGTGGTGTCCTGCATCAAGGAGTGAATAATATGATAATTATATGACATGTCATGCATCAATGAGCCATTTTTCCAGCACTTCGCATGCTCTGATATGCCCATGTCCGGCCTAGTCAAGGGTTCGCCGCGTTCGTCGCGTTCGTCAAGTCGATGCGTTCGTCCACCGTGTGAAGCCGTGGAGCCGTGGTCCATAGGAGAGAAGACTTGGGTGTGTATTTATATACCCATGAGACCTTGTAGAACCACCACAAAGATCAGACTAGAAGCTAGCCAGGCTAGCCACTAGCCCTTGAAAAAAACCCTATAAGAATCATTGGACCCTCCGAACTGGAGGGTTTGGACCCTGCAGCACGCAGGGGTTTGGATCCGAACCAAACCTTCACCGAACGGGTCGGGTCCTTGATTCTTAGGGTAGATTTATCTAGGGAGACACGCCCCTTCTTCCCGCGGGGCTTTAGGAGGTCTCCCTGTTTATATAATACTTCTCATATTGACCGATCAGGCCAGGGGTGGTGCCAGGGGGATCAGTGGATCGGCAGTCCTATGGCAGTCCCATGGAGTGTCTGCGTAGTAACAAACCACAAGCGGCTCAAGAAGTGTCTCCCGGCAGCTGTCGCTTTTTCAGGCCTGCTGGTCGTGCCCAGGAGAATTCGGGAGGAGGAAGCATGACTTCGGTGAATCCTCCCAAAAAAGGCCGCTTTAGGAAAAGCACAATTAGGGTTTGGGGTTTAGAATCGAAAAGCAACCGTAACCGTAAGTTATTGATACTGTGTTTCATTGTGTTTCTATGTTCTTTTTTCACCTTTATACTTGGACTTGAGTGAGGAACCCCCCAATCCCCCCAAACCAAAGACTCAAGACGGCATTGTGCTCAACACCCGCTTCGTACTTAGTAGGTCCATGGTCCCACCCACTAGGGACCTCTGCCACCTCCCTTCCCACCCCGCTGCCAAGCCCAGTGACTGCTGGCGATCGCCTCTAAGGACCTCTCCATGTTGCTGGAATGTGCCTCTAAAGATGCCTCGCCCGTGCACGTCAGACACGTTCCGCGTGAGAGGTGGCTTTCGCCGTGGGTTTCGGCACACCAGGTTAGTCGATTGGGTTTAATTGGGTCTGTCTCTGTTTCAGCTTCCTAGAATCCCAGCAAAGACTGCAACCAATGCAAACATATTTACAAAAGAACCATATCATATATGTTGTCATCTTGGCTCATTCCACCCAACCCGAGGGAAGCTCCTCGAATCCTGTCTCTGTCGGATCCCCAAAGCATTCCCCCCAAAAAAAGGTTTGCCAGTGACTGCCAGTGGAGAAAATCGATGTCTTCCGAGCCGAAAGCATCCGAGCACGACTTCAATGCTATAAGGCTAGAAGCGTCACACACTGGCGCGCTGGGCGGACTCGAATTCGGGGAAAATGGTCTCGGATTCTTCTGCGGGCTAGTATTAGGGTTCACGCTTGAAAGGAGGAACCCAATCCTAAAGACCTTCTCAGAAGTGGAACTGTATACTTTCTGGGCACTTGCACTCTAACTCTGAGACGGTCTCAACTGCCACTGTCCTTTCGCATGTTCTGCTTTCCATGTCAACTCGTCTACGAAAACAACTCCCATGATCCTTCCCACCTTCCACAGGTGCCACACGGTGCCATTTCCCAAACCCATCGGTCTAGCGAACTGAAGAACCGGGCCTCCTGCTGCTGACGTTCCTTCAACAAGATCTGCTCCAAGCCTTCAGCCTTCGCCTGCGATGGAAGTGGGAAGCAGGCGGCTTCGGGCGGTTTCGGCCGAGTTCGCAGGCGCCTGGCGACAGGCCGACGGGGGTCGATGTCCTGAAGCTTCCCCCTTTGGGTCTTTGACTCGTGGGAAAACGCAAGGAATGAGGGAATGAATCCAAAGGAGTCTCCAGGACTTGGGCGAAACTTCCCGCGTTCGCTTGCTAAACACCAGTCAGTTCATTGGGAAGTCTCCCGGAGTCTGAATGCACATCCACGTGGGAGACCCTCCCTGATCCTTCACAAAAATCAACATGTTCACCTTTCCACATGTTCACTCCCCTTTCAAGGACGTCAACCATTCCACTTGCCGTTGTGACGGTGACGCTGTCGCTTTTCAACTCCTTCAATCAACAGCCCATGCGGAAAAGCAACTCTTGCGGCCGGACGGCGGCCGGACAAAAGGGAAATAGAGGGTTTGTTCGACTTTGAATCGGTGAAGGATCTCCTTCTTTCATCTTCCCTTCAACCTCCTCCTCCGTCCCAAAACAAGGGTCTGTTTAGATCCCAATTTCCAACTGGTTGAAATTGAAGAACCTCCATGAAAACACTCCAAGGCTCTCCTTGGAAGGACACCTTGGGGTGCACGTCATGTCTAGAGAATTTGGAAACAACACACGTCAACATGCCTTTATGGTTGGGAAAGCAAAACCATTGGACCATGCGTTGACTTGCGTGGTGTCAGAAAGAAAACTATCCGAAACGCATCCAGCCGCGCCACACCATTGCAGAGTTGAGGTAGTGGAACCCGTATGGTAGTGGAGGGGTTTTCTGAGAATGCCGGGGATTCTGATACAAACAACCTACGCCAATCCCATGACTGGTGAGTTTGGATGGTTGTCATGTAGGCCATCTTGCCCCCAGAGCGCTTGGGCTAAAAAAGATGAAGAAGAACTGAATTCAACAAAGATATACAAAGATACCAAAAGCCCTCAAAGTGTCTCCACACACACGATGGCATGTAGAGCCATGCCAGGATGCCGCGTTCAACAGCAAGCACCCCCTCTTTTCATACAATCCTTTCAACTACAACAAGGTTCAACTACTAAAACCTGATGATGAGAACATCTCCGAACAACCCGACTGGTCCCCATAGGGATTGGGTAGGGCCGGACCCCTCCATATGAAGACTTCGCTTCCTTTTCGCTCCACACCCTGTGACCGTCGTTTCCACACCACAGCCCCACCGATGGACTAAAGACCACCGCCGAGCTCGCCTGAAGAGCCTCCCGACTCTTTTGCATCTCCTCCAGCTCTTGGGTCCACTGCTGGATGGGAATCTGGCGGACTCGGTGAAGTCACCCCAGCCCGAGGCTCGGCTCGTAGCGATGGCGAGGTGACGTACTGAAGGGAAACCGCGGGGGAGTGGCTGGGACCCGGATGGGGCCAAAATGATCCCTGAAGTACGACAACCTGATGCAGCGGAACCTAACAGCTGCAGCACCCGGACTCACATGACTTGAAAGGAAGCCAGTGGGAGGCAAGCAGGAACACGTGTTGGGAGGTGATGAACTCGTGACAGGAGGTGACAACATGCGCATTCAGGGCGTCATGCAAGTCAAACAACTCTTGATGGAGAAGCTCATAGCAACACGAAAGGGACCCCACAAAAGCAATTATGTAACTCTCAAACCTGACACCTGTAAACAAGCAGTGCTTTGGGTTGTGCCATGTTGTAGAGGATGGAGGATGGGGGTTCTTAGTTTCCTTTCTTCCATCCCAAAGGGAACACAAGGTCTTCGAGGATCGTTTTCCCTCATCCCAACACCGCCCAACATGTCTTTCCCCTCCGACGCCTTTGGCTGAGGGAGCCTGCGGAGCCATGTCTATGTGGGTGCCAATGTGGGCGCTTTCTTCCTTTATTCTTTTTCTTTGTTTCTTTAAGCGATGGCCTCCAACCTACTGGGGATGGCCTCCACCTAATAGCGATGGCCTCCACCTCCACCACGGTCAAACACGGAGGTCTTTTTCCGCTCAACCTCTTCAACTGGTCTTTCCGTGTCTTTTCGTGCGTTGGCCCACCTCTCTTTCAAGTGGAGATCCACATCCTTCAACTTCGTCTCCATGGACCTCACGGCTTCATCTGAAAGATGTGAGGCACCGGGGCTGTTGGAGGTTCCAACAGATTCTTCAAGCCCCGAGATGTCACGAGGACGTCCTTCTAACGTCGTCGAGTCAAGTCGAAGGAGCTCCCTAAGAATCGGCGGCCGCCGGTTTGGGGAAACACACACACACCCCTGCTGTGTACCTCAGTAATCCCAAAAGTAGCTCGTAACGTCAAAGAATATATGCGACACATGCTGAAAAGGAGCTTAGCCAGCCCGAATGGGGTCCAATGGGTGGCCGAACCCAATGGTTGGATTCCGTAGGTCATTGTGGATTAACACACTCCCCTAAGAATCGATCCTCCGAACTGGAGGGTTTTGACCCTGCAGCACGCAGGGGTTTGGACCCGAACCAACCCTTCAAAAGTAAAGTGTTAAATAAACATTGTTCTCACATAGCTTTGCCAGTTCGGAGTAGGTGTCATCTTCATCCAACTGTTGACTGGCCACTCCAAAATAGAGTTATCTAAGCTCCCCCAAGCAAAATAGATCAAAATAGCTATACGCCGTCAGTGAAAACAAGCTCCCCCAAGACCATCCTTAGAGGAGAAAGTCCACCTCACCTCTCCTCTGCACCTCTCCTCCACCTCACAGCCGTGTCGGTCGCCCGGCAGAAGCCGCCGGTGCATCTCCTGCTCCTTGGCCGTTGCGCCTGGTCAACCGAGGTGGAATCGGATCGGGGACGGACCATGGACCTTCGCCCTGTGCCGGTGGAGAGCGAAAAGAAACAAAACACAGCCCGCTGTCCAGCAGGTTTGAGCTAAACTTTGAGCGGCTAGCAGTCGGAAATCCCAAAGCAAAAAAGGCTGAAGATGGACGAAGGGTCTTTAAAAAAATCCTATATACTTAGTATTAAGTATGCCTAAACTCGGACAGTCATAGGTTTCCAAACGAAACCCACCAAACCGTCCACCCTCTTCGTTTTTTTTTCTCCGATCGCGGCGACATCCGAAGGCGAAAAAAACCAGAAGTCACCCAAACCCTCGGTCGGATCCCCGACGGCGTCGTCCGGTGGTGACTGGTGGCTCCAACACCCAACATATCCCAGACACTCCATGTATGCCATATATGCCTACACTGACCCCCCGAACCACCCCAATGTAGGTAAATATACCACACATGGAGTGCCTGGGTATTGCAAGTGTCCCATGAAATTCGGAGTGTCTGCTCGGCGTGTTGGCACAGCGCCGAGAAAACGGCCATTTGGGATGTGATTAGGAGTGATTACGTGCTGGATACATCTGCCAGTCCCATGAAAGGAGTGTCTGCTCGGCGTGTTCTGGATGGCTGTAAATAGCACAGCGATTTGTAAAAACAACTCTTTTGGGCCAAAGCTTCGAGGTATCAAGGAGTGAAAAAGTTTCTGTAACCTCCCGTCACTTCCCGTCACTACGTCGTCGCATCGCTTTTGAGGCTCAGACCTCCCCCTGCGGTGATGGACTCAGCCCAACCTCATTTTGCTGGCAAATCAAATATCCCAGTATGCAACATGCACGCTTGCACATGCTTGCATGATGTGTGAAGACCATTCTCAATTGCTTCCCTCTGTGCAGCGACAAACGAGTTCCTAAGGTCCTAAAAGTCCAGAGTTTCTGTGTTGTCTTCCCTCCGCCCACCCGTCTGGTGGCTCCCCCGGGCCGCGGCCTGCAGATGATGGGATGGAGGTGGCCTCAGAGACGTGACCGTTGTCACTGCCACCCTGTGAACGATGCTCTCGGGCACTTGGGAGAGGTCGAAAGCTCTGTTTTCCGGGACCAAGCCTACCAGCTGCTTCCAAGAGGTCACCAACGGATATCTCCACACTACATACTGGCTGTGCTATTTTAGCTTGGTCAAAGTCGCTCCGCATGCTTTTTCTTGCAATTGCTCTTGTGAAGCGCGAACAGTCTTTGTTTCGCACAGTGAGACAAAGTTTTTGCAGCGTAGAATATTCTTCTGCAGCATTCTGCTTGAGTTTCTTATTCCTATTTACAGTTCCCGTGGCTAAACAAGTAGCCCAAATATTATGCTTGCTTATATAATCCATGTCTCCACAGCGGTTTGACCTTGAGCTGGAATCAGTTCTCAAAACACAAGACATGCAGCATATGCAGCTCACACAACTCACCCTCACTGACGCAGGGCTCCGACCCTCGCGCTGCCTGCGTCTGCTGCGACAGAGTTGAGCCGGCTAAACTACAACTGTTCCGAGTACGGTCCTGCAAGCCTTTCGCATGAAAACATTGAACATGAATCCAAAGTGCACTGGCCTTGTGGGTCGTTGTCTCAGGAAGTTCGCGTAAGGTACCTGAAGAGAAGGCAAAGAACGAGGAAACTTCCGACGTTGTTTGCCCAACCTCACCAGTCTGCAGGCCCAGGTCTCGCGCCTACAGGGAGAGTAGAAACTGAGTAGAAACGGCTCAACCCGGCTCAGCAATTCAATCTTGCCTCGACCCATGCGTCGACGCACCGCTGCGTTGACGGTTTTCCTTCGTAGGAAGTCAAGAGGATCGTCGCACATCTTCCGCTATTTTTTGGCCTGCCCTACTTCTTCTGCAAGGCTTCCTTTGCTTCATCGACCGTTGAGCTTGCCCCTACATGAGAAGGGAAACATATCCTCCACATTTGACTTCCTCAACCGACACTTCTGAGTCACAGGCCATTCTGGGGTCATCATTTGTGAACATCAAAGCATGAGCTGAACATCTCGGCAGCCTCCACGCGATGAAATCGATGAATGCTTGACAAACAAACGCACATCACATAATTACACATGTGCAATCATTTGGCTGCAAGATCTTCTTCTGTGGAGTCTTCAATGCCAACCCCAACCTTGCCCCAACCCCGCCTGCGGTCGCTTTCCACTTTCTTAACTTGAAATGGCTTGCTCCAAGTGTACCTTTTCAAGCCGGCTCCAGGCTCCAATCTGGACTTGCATTTCAAGTCCCACTGCCCAATCGCTGCGGAAAAGGACTTCTGCTTCTGCTCGTTTCATTTCCAGGGCGCAGGTCCAGCATCAACGCTCTAATGTCAAAACATGCATTAATGAAACTGGAAAGCTTTTTCTTCTCAAGAACAACAATCCAACAACTACCAAAACATGTGGAAATACATGCCCAAACGTGCTCAGCAAAAATGTGTCTGCTCTTTCTTGAACCTCATTCCACTAGCTTACAGCAACTATCCTCTAGCAGCCTGTCTTGCAGCTTCTTTTGAAACCACTTTCTCAGAAATCCAATCAAAAGCGCCTTCCTCACCAACCACTTGTGTGGCCACCCTGTGCGAAATCTAGGGAACCTCTTCATCTAACATGTCCGCCAAGATTGCCTTTTGCAGGCTTTGAATAAACTGCTTCAAGAAAAGCCCTGAGTTTCACATAATTGCCTGGTCTTCTTGGCGGAAGAAGCAAAGGGCAAAGGCACATGGGCGTTGAGGAGCAATAAGGAGTCAGAATTGCGCACCTGCTATGATTCGGACAAATGTACAGAAACAAATTCAACATTCATTTCGGCCATTGCTCAGCATGCCCATCAAATGTCAAAAGAATCAAAACTGCCATCGCTCATGGCTGCTTCCACTCACCTGCCGTCTTTCACACCTGCTTCCACTGTCCAGGCGGCATGGTCACCGGCTTTGAGCATACCAAAGCCAAGCCATAATCGCAAGGCATCAGAAGGAGTCCGGTGAACTTGGACTTGCACATCACGATCATCTTTCCAGCCTCCGCTGGCTTCAACACCTTGGTGGAAATGGCCCATAGCCGAGCAGGCTCTTTCTTGATGGCATCCTGGGCCTGGATGGAATGCAACGATTCATGAAACACCCAGCTGGATGGCTGCAGAGCGTATTCTACTCCATTTGCCGGCAGCTCAACACCTCGAACAACGTTTCCATCGGTCAATCTGGAAAAGACCGTGCCCTTGGTGATCCTTTTGTTTTTGGTGCGTGCTAGGTCCTGTCTCAGACATCACCAACTTTGAAGCTATTGCGCTCACCAAGCTCTACTAGCGGAGGCGAAGAGGCAGCGGGAGCACCACCTGGAACAGGCCCAGAGCTCTCAGGCTTCTCAGCCTTCGGCTTGTCCAACTCCATGGTCGCCTCCTTTTTCGGGGTCTCCTGAACAGTGTCCTCAGTTTTGGCCTTCTTTGCATCTGGGTTTGGCGGCGTCTTTGAAGCTTCTGGCTCGCCCCGTTTCTGAGGCGTGATCTGGTCAGGTTCACTCTGTGTCATGCCATCATTGCTCCAAGAAAGGGTGCTTTTTCGTCAGGAGGCTTCTGTGTGAGGTCATAACGAGGCGCATAGTTCAGGACGATAGGACCAGCTATGCCTGCACGAGGGCAAAGGCTAATTTATTGTCAGTGCAGTTGTACAGCTCCAGGACGTGTGTGTTGTTCTTTTGTTTTTTCAAATTTTGTTTGGAATGTCTTATGCAGGTTCGCTCTCTGCTTTCCTATTATTAGCCTACAAGTGGTCCAATTGCACAAAACGGTGCGCTTGACAAGTGAAACTGTTTTTTGAGCGTCAAAGAAAAGTCAGCTAAGTCCGTCACGGCAAACAGAATTTCTTTGGGAAACAACTGAAAGAAAATAAATAGAACTTTTTTCTCCAGGCCCGGCCTTGTCCAGTTGCTGTCTGGCAAATGATCTTCAAGAAACTCCTGGTCGAGCCACTGGTACAATCCATCTCGATGACGCAGTTTGGAAACCTTCGGATCCCAAGATAAGGTAGTGGTTGATGTAGGGCCGCCCCCATCAGCACCGCGTACACATCAACCTTTTCGCCATCCTTGGCAACGTTTCTAACTCGCACCACACAATCAGCAAAGCGACTGTTGCCTTTCTGCTGCAAGACGTCCTGCGCCTTGTGGATGTCCGTGAAGCGCATGCCGTGGCACAGACAGATGACTTCTCCGTCCTTCGCCGTTCTCCTCGGACTGTGCTGCTCAAAAAAACCTGCATCAGCCAGATCATATTTCGCGTCATCATCACCCAGAAACGAACTAAACTTGGAACTGGGGTTGGCAAAGGCCCAAGCTCCCATCTGCAAGCAAAGCCAAAATTCTGGTTGGCAAGTTGGTCCAAAAGGCCTGCCCAGGGGTCTGCATCACAGTCAACCTGGAGGTCAAAAAGCTGGATGGAAGAGCTGAGCTGGGAAGCGTCTGGCCCAGCAATGAACTGCAGACTACCTTGCTTCTGCTTCAGAGCAGCTTGGTCTGGGGTTATCTCATTGAACTTAGCGGCTGCCATGTACTTCAGAAAGATGCCCCGGCCATGCTGAAGGCTGTGCTCCGATACCCGGTTCAAGAACACCACCATGTCTTTCTGCACGGTCCTCAATGAAAGTGGCAACGCGTAACTATAGAAGAAGTCAAAAGCAATCAAAACCCGGCGCTGCTGACACTCTAAAACCTAGAACAGCAAATGTTGCGCACGGCCCGCAGGCAGAACGCACCATGAAAATACAAGATCAAAACCAAAACTCATGTTTTCTTCTGGCCCGCCTGGCAGCAATCCATCCTGATGGATGCCCCGTTCAAGTCAAAAGGACAAGAGAGTCCACTTTCAACACTGAAGGGAGCTGGAACAAGGGCTCGTAGAACTTGCTGGGTCTTGCAAATGGGAAGTCTGTCCTGACGTGCTCCATTCTTCTCACTCAAGCCATCGATCTCCGTCTTGCTTCGGAGCGGACATGAGCGGCTCGATGGATTGTTTTTACTCTTACCCATATAATGAATATGTCATATCTGGGTCGATCTCTTTGGCTCATACTATATACTTCCAATTCTCATGCTTAGCTTCAGCGCCGTTTATGTATAATGCGATCGTCGGATTAATCAACGGGCCCCCCCCCTAGAAGGTCAACAAGGTCAACAAGGTCTGAGATTGGAGGTTTTGGAGATCACATCCCCCTAATAGTGGGGATGACCTGATGATGACAGGAGGAGGAGATGAGATGGGATGGAATGATGAGATCCATGAGAGCCCAAATACTAATTCCCTTTCATCATGAGATCCATGAGAGCTTATTGGCACAAATTTGATGAGAGATCTGAGAGATCAGAGCCATGCCAACTGGATCAAAGCATATTAGGGCTTGGTGGAGGAATGGGCGATGGAGGCTCTATGTGGTGAGAGTGGATGCCTATTCTGGATGGGCAGATTGGTGGCCTGTTGAGGATTGGTATGATTTGATGGCCTATGACACCCAATCTGAGAGAGATTGGCACATTGCCAATGAGTATAGGGAGATGGGCCTTCCAATATGGAGGAGGAGGAGATGAGACTGGAGCATGCATTGGAAAATTGGAATGAAAGGGAATTAGTATTTGGAAGAATTGAGATGAAAGGGAATTAGTATTTGGAAGAATTGTAATGAAAGTGAATTAGTATTTGGCAGAATTTTGGAAGGAAAGGGAATTAGTATTTGGAAGAATTGAAATGAATGGGAATTAGTTTTTGGAAGGGTTGGGATGAAAGGGAATTAGTATTTGGAACCTGCTGAGCACACCATTGGTTCCATGATTCATGGGCATATTTTGGCACAAGCTATTAGTTTGGGTGGGTATTGGTGAGGTATTGAGCCATGGTGCACTCAGCAGAGGGGATGACCAATGAGCTGTTGAGCTTGGGTGGTATCATGAGAAGCCATGCGCTGGGCAATGTATGGGTGATCATTGAGGGTATGCTGGGA